AATCCCCCCCCCCCCCCCCTCCCGCCCCCGCCCCGCCCACGTGGCAGATAGTAGATTGGTCACCCGCCAACTCTGCTGCACGTTATTGGTTGACCGAGCCCTGGCGATTGGGGGCCGGCGCTATTAACGTCCAGGGGCGTCGGCTGGGGATCTCCACAGCAAATAAATCCGAATGTCGCCTATCCAAACGCAATCGGTTCGGTCCGGCCTGATCCAGCCACGCCAGACTTTACTGCAGAGCAGCGCATGGGCCGCGACCGGAGCGATAGAAGCATTTTGACACCTCTGGAGCGTGAGCAACAGCAACTGCTCCCCGCTCATCACTCGAGGTGTGGACGGCAGTGAGTAAAGGTGGCCCGCTGTGTGAGCGTATCCGGGGGTTTTGTAGCGGACAGACCAGGTTATTGCAGAGATGCTATGCTTTGTTCGGTGGGAGGGAGTCATTAAAAGGGGTCCTGCCTGATTTCGTTGACCGGGGTAGGTGAAACCGGCGCAATGCGTCAGAAGGCAATTTTTTGTTTGAGATGCGGCGTTAGTTAGCGTCGTTTTCGTGGCGGCCTGATTTCTTGACCTCGTTGGTCCAGCACAGGAAGAGAGCTTCCTTTCATAGTGAAGAACGAGGTCACAAACCTCACTCTAGTGCCAACTAAGCATAACATGCGATTCAGTGCGCTATTTTCACTGAATGCGGTACACATTCTGTACACATTATATATGTGTATAATTTAATTTTTATTATAATGTACGCATTATATATGTATGTGTAATAGTCTGTACAGAATGTGTACACATTATGTGTACACATTCGGTACACATTATCAAATCAAGAACTGCTGGATGATCCGGGCAGTCGGTATGGTCATGAGACACCACTGCAAATGCCCGGATGTGGGCGAAGTTCAGCGGAAGTGTCACTGTTGCTGCAACCACGATGGCCTCTGATCTTTACGTGTTAGTTGCAACATAGGCGGATCGATGTGACGAAGAGCGCGGCTACCGACACATTAGGTTAAAATGTTGTGTCATGCACGGGATTTCGTGTCATGCCCTGCTGCAACCCGTTCACCTACCGTTCCTCCCACTCATCTCAAATTTCATTCAATCCGAGGTTTGTTTTGCTAGCACACATATCCTGATGCAGCCCACCTGTAAGCTTAAATAGATATTAGGATGTCCAAGTCTCCTACTTTAGATGTCTATTCGCTTATCTGGGATTCCCAATACCTTTCCTTGCGGTTCTGTCCGCCTTCTAATGAGGACTTCCCCACTTCAGCTCTCTGAGGTACTTAACCTTCAAAGCTCGTAGGTGTCCCTTTGCCTGAGTCTGAGTCGAATCTTTGCCTAGGTTTGGAGCATCTCTCGACATGGGAGTACCTACACCGTCCTTATCCATCTACCACTCCCTGGTGTACTGTATTCCTCTGCACTCCGTTCCCTTACATCTGTTTTCATGAACTCCAGGGCGTCCCTTTGCCTGGTTTTCTGAGGTCAGCTTTCTAGCTGCCGTTGAAGTTTCAAACGAATTCTTAGTACCTCGGGCAGCATGGCTGTGAAATAAAATACCATAAATAATGGAGTTCTCGGGAATTGGGGCGCCACTCAACACGGTTACGGAAGTACCCCGCTGCCCTCGGACTGAGGCGTCCTCCAACTTTGCGTGGGGTGCCCTTCTTTGGTTACTGGTTTGTTTGGCTTTGTTTGTGGGCTGTCCTTACTCAGAGCTGGGGCTTTTCCTCCCCTCGCCAGGTTTCTAAGCGTTCCGCTTCCTACCGCTGTCGAGTGTGACTTAGGACTTCCGACTGGCTTTGGGCTTCTCTGTACCGGGGTTTGATCAGACCCTGTACTTGGTTTGGGGCGTGTGAGCCCACAAACGTGCTCTCCACTGTTTCTATTGGTTCCTTTTCCAAGACCACCACCCTCCCACGTCCACTCCGAGCGTCACCAGTTCCCACCCACCGCCGCCGCCACCCACATATGGCGCTAGAGGATCGACACACGCACGTCCTTTACCCACGGCTAAGAACCAAGTTAGCAATGACAGGCAAAAAGCATGCAGAAAACGGGAAACCGCAGCACGTGAAATGCAACACACAACTGACAAACCACAACGGCACTGGTTTTTGCTCAAGCCGTGCTCTCTGCGGGATCATCGAACGGGGCGGTGCACAGCCGAGCGGTGACCCAGTACCGAGCAGGGTCACCGACACCCTCCAGCGACGGCTCCCCAGTACCGAGCAGGGTCACCGACACCCTCCAGCGACGGCTCCCCAGTACCGAGCAGGGTCACCGACACCCTCCAGCGAGCGTTCCCGGGAGAGGGCCCCCGGAATCCTCCGAATCCTACCCGAGCGGCAAGGTTGGGACTCCGGAGCGGGACTCCATGGTCTCCGTAGCTCACACAGAGTACCTCCAGGAGACAAGCGCGCCGCCGGGGAGAGGCTGTCGGAGCCCGCGGGTCGAGGGGTGACGATCCCGGTTCGCAAGCCTCCGGTTGGACGGCTCTCTCAGTGCTAGGATCTCAACGGGGCCGATATATGGCATGTCCTCTATTAACAGCGAGACATCTTCAATGTCCACTCCCCTCCCTGCATTGCAGTAAGTCTGCTCGTCGCCGGGCAAGCCATCTAGTTTTCTCGTCGTGGCTGTGGGCGGCGCCACCAGCGGGGGGCAGGTGGCGCTCGCATCGCGCTGCAGGGACCGCGACCGCGAGCTACTGCGGGGACAGGATCTGTCCTTAGCGGAGGGGCCGTCCACAGGCCAGCCCAGCAACAATAGTGACGCAGGATGACGAAATTTACATGCAAGCTTGGGATGTCAACAGCTGACAACTTTCACCAGTTGGCAAAGCGCAGAGTCGCGCATACGCGACTGGCGTGAGCGAGTCGCGCAGAGCAGCGCACACGAGACTCTGCACGACACCGAGCCGGCGATCTCACTGGAGACTGGCTAGCAGTCCCATCCACCCCCAGAGGGCCTTTCTCTCAGTATCACCACTAAGCACTCTCACACACTGGCGTTTTGATGTCTCGACTCAGGGGAGCTGCCAATGTATTAGCGTGTGCTGAGATGTTTTATCCCTTCCAGTGATGCGGGGTGTCTTGAATGATGTCTAATTTCTGAAGTAAATCCCATGGGTGTAGAGAAAAATACTGTTAGTTAATGTGTATTTGTCTTGGGTTCTCACTGTTTTAAATACTAATTCAGCGGCACATAATTTTAATTTCATTAATGTTTTTGTGAAGACCCGTTTGAGCACTCTAACTTGGACCCCCGGTGGGAAAAAAGCCTTCTGTCCTATACTCTGTGCTCAAAACAACACAGAGGGCAAGGAACAGGGTGAGATACAGGACAGAGCAGGGCGTAGGTTAGGGAGGACAGAAACAAGGGCGTGACAAGACGGAGAGTATGTGGCAGGAAAAAGGCGGGGCAGGACGGAGAGTATGTGGCAGGAAAAAGACGGGGCAGGACGAAGGATGGTGCATTACAGGTGACAGGACAGGAGCTAGGCCCGGGGAGAAGGCAGAGATCCAAGGATTAAATACAGAGGGCGAAAAGGAAAGGGCAGAAGACAAACCAAGTCAAAACCCGTCCTGTCCTATCATTTCCCGGTCTCGATGCGACGGGGCAAGGTAGCATAGGGCAGGATATGACAGGACGGAAGTGATATTGTCTTGTCTTGTCCTCTGCCATTTCATCGGCTCTGCTCTCCACACTGTGCCATATACTCTGAGCGATCTGTCCTCCTTCCTGCCCTATCATCAGCCATGGCATGCCCTCCATCCTGCATTGTCCTCTGTCGTTTCCCGTCCCCAGTCTTGCTTTGTCCTCGGTCTCTTTGTGTCCTCCGCGCAGCCCCGTGCTCTGTCCTGTCATGTCCCCTTCATTGCTCTGTCGCCGATCCTGCCCTGTCTAGTGTCCAGCTTTGTGCTATGCGTTGGTCTGTTCTGTCTTGCCCTGCTCTGTGATGGCATCCGGCCTGCCCTAGGGCGGGACGAAGGGCGGAGAGCTCCGCCCTAGTATTTGCATTTTCCATTTCCAGCTTCGCCTTACCCTCTGTCCTTCTTCTTGTCCCCAGCCCTCTTTCCAGTCCTCTGCCCCATCTGTTGTGCCGTCCTCTGTGTTCCGTCCTGTCCTGTTCCGTCTTACGGACGCTGCATAGCCCGGTCCTGCTCCACATTATCAGTATCCACCCACGCGGCAGCCATATCTGTCTATGTGATACCATGCTAGAACTCCGCCTTCGTAAGGTGATCAGTATCCACCCACGCGGCGGTCATCTCTGTCTATGTGATACCATGCTATTGTAAGGTGATCAGCATCCACCCACGCGGCAGTCATATCTGTCTATGTGATACCATGCTATTGTAAGGTGATCAGTATCCGCCCACGCGGCAGTCATATCTATGTGATACTACGCTATTGTAAGGTTTAGCTGCGACTGACATCGTATACATCAGTGCCCAAGTGCGTCATTGGAGCTTTACGACACTCATCTGCTGAGGCTACATGGCGTCACCTGACTCTTGGCCTGGCAGAAAGGGCGGGCACCGCGGGGAATCGAACCCGATACCTCTGGTCCGTGTAGAAGCGTTCGGTTTTATACGTTTATGTTATTATTCCATGTTTTATCTGGTTATGACTTAATCTTTCCATAACCGCCGCAATTTGCATGCCTGAACACGAAATGTATTCCTTGCGTGGTGTCAACTCAAATATGCTGCTTCACATCCGATTAATCATAATTGAGGAGCTCCACCTTCGGTACGACTATAGCAGCGCTAGTAAATATTGCAGCAACATTTTAGCTCATTTACACATCCAGCCATGCGGGGAGCACGATTCCTGTCACTGCAGCCCCAGCTCGTCCAGCTTCATCAAACGCATCGGTAGTCTCGTGTCTCGTTACTAATGTACTAATGGGTACTAATGAGTGAATTCAGGCTTTGGGTGCGCCCCTGTTAATAGTTTTCCAGGAACCACCAGCTTTAATTCAGCATCCATCAACATACGGACCATGTGTATTCAATATCCTGAACGCTCAGTACACCAAGGACTACCCTTGCCAAAACCTCCATTCTACACTGAGAAGACACACACACACACGCATACTGTCCACCACAGGCGGCCGACGTGCCGGACCGGGCCGCCGAGGCGCAGCACCCTGCCATCACGCCTGGTCTGGTCAGGGCTGCTCCTGGCTCTCGCTGAGAGCGGCCAGACTGCGCACCAGCGCCGCCTGGTGGTGGTTGAGGGCGGCGCTGGTGGCGGCCGCCGGCCCGGCCAGCAGGCCGCTGAGCTGGGCCAGCAGCGCCGGCCGGCCCGGCAGCTGGCCGTACCGCTCCAGATCGGCCACGCTCATGAACCGCCCCGACACCACGCCGCCTGTCGGACAGGGCGAGCGGCGTTAGCTGGGCCGGCGTGGCACCGGCGGCGCACCGACCGCGGTCGCGAGGACCGAGCGGCGTCTCTCACGGACGCACATCAGCTCCAGGACACCGCTGGAGCATCCCAGCAATGAGAACGGCTTGGCAATCGTCGACGGTCCCTTTCGTTACAACATCAGACAAGGTCAATATACAACTGCATCCGAAGGTGTCCCACACATTTTTGTCGCCAGACGTTTCTGCACATTCAAAAAGGGGAGCCTGGAGAGATGACCGTACCGCACATGACAGTTAAAATAGTTGACATTAAGAGCAAATAGTTGCGGCGCAATTTCATTCAGGATGCCCTTGTCCCATATTTTGATTCTGTACCTTACGCCCCCATCCGCAGAGGTGCGGTCTTCTAGCACAACAATCAGCCACTAAGTTATTTGGGGTCCCTAGCCGGCCGATAAAGTCAGGCACAAATATTAATAACTTGTAATTGGCTGGTGCAGTACGGTCGTCTGCACAGGCTGAACTGATGCGAACTGGAATAAACATACATACAGTGTCCAAGAACATACATCTGGTAAAATAAGACAAATAAATGCATCAGTGAGATCCACATAGATAACGTTAACAGGTAATGATAACTATGAACTTTGGAAGCGACTACACTCAATGTCATGGGACGCCAAAATATACATAGCTCGCATGACTGCATCAGGCATATATATATATATATATATATATATATATATATATATATATATATATATATATATATATAGTCGCAGTTGCAGTCGCAGTTGCAGTCGCAGTTGCAGTCGCAGTTGCAGCCGTAGCCGCAGTCGCAGTCGCAGTCGCAGTCGCGGCCGCAGCCGCAGCCGCAGCCGCAGCCGCAGCCGCAGCCGCAGCCGCAGCCGCAGCCGCAGCCGCAGCCGCAGCCGCAGCCGCAGCCTCCATCGCTTACCGATCATAACCAGTTGCGGCAGCTTCTTCCGCAGCCGGAGCAGCTGCGCCACCCGCGGCTCGGGACACGTCACCAGCGACGTGTGCGACCGACACAGTTGCAGCACCGGTGCCAGAGACGTGCCGCCGAACGCGTGAGCAGCGATCGTGTTGCTGAAGAGCTTGTGGTAGGTGAAGCCGGCCCGCTTCAGCATCTGCCACATCTGGAGCCGCGCCGCCGGTGTGAGTCCCCTCGGGTGAGGCGGTCACCATGTTCAAGGAACGAGGAGGGGGGGGGGGGGGGGCGTCGGGCCGCACCACTGCGCTCATACCATTGAACAACATCGCAACACGGTAAACCTATATCTCTTTCATCGTTGAGGTATGATCTGCCATAATTGTCCTGGTGTGACATGGTTTATCATATCATGGATTGGTGCCTTTAATGAGCTGCTGCATATCGCGAAAGGTGCTCCCTCCCGCACAAAACGATCAGGCTGCCCGAGTAGCCGTGTAAAAAACAACCAATCATAGACGCGATGCAAAAAGCAGAAACCGATCCCTCACCTTATGAACCTCGCTCATGGTAATGCTATTCCTGTGGAAGAAGACGATAAGTTCGGACTTTTCACATGTTTCCCGAACCATCTTCCCAAGGATAACCTCCAGAGGATTCTCCTGTGGAACAGATGACGAGCTTAGGCGACGAGGAGAACATTTATTGCGTAAATCTGGCATACGATTTTTCCCACTTATAGCAAAACAGCCAATGCCAATTTGTCTGTCCCGATGGCTCAGTTGGTTAGAACACCTGACTTTCAATCCATCCTAACGTGGCGGGGTGGGTTCAAGTCGCTTCATGCACTCGGTAGTTGCCCTTGATAGATGTGGCTTGCGGCCGGGAGCAACTGTCGCGCGAGAGTCTAGGTGACGTCAGAGCACAGGACGGACCGCGCCGCACACTGAGGTGCGTTAAACCTTCGCCGACAGTCTGCCGTTGACCTGGAATGGCGCGACCGGATTGAAGATCAGGGCTCACACAACAGCACTGCTTAACGTGAGCTCTGATCCCAGAAATCCATTCATTCAAAAGGTTTGAATTAAATCTTAAAATAGTACAATACAAGCGCTTTTGCACTAGAGCGTCAATGCGTTTTAGCTTTAATGTAACTGGATCACAGAGGACCGGCGATATCGCTACGGGCGGTCACGAAGTTGATACGGCCAAACTAAAAAATGTTGGCTTTACGAAATCAGCTGCATACACAGATGTGGTTAATGCAAGGAGAAAGACGCCCGTGGAGCGCCTCTTTGTTCCACATTTCTCTCGTCTAAGACAAAAAAGACGTAAGTGTTGTGTGTTATGCATGTTATATGTAAGTATATGTGTCATGTAAGTGCATGTGGTGTTGGCGTTGTGTGTAAGTGTTTGTGTTGTGTGTTACGTTAACTATTGGCCCTTATGCCCTTTTGCCTTTGGACGGCAGATTTATATGTGAACGAGCTTTGTATACAAGGTCGAGTCTCGGCGATATGACTCCGCAGGAGGTTGAATGGTAGAGATCCCATAAACAAAGACACTCAAATAGCCAGCACACATTTCATAACGATTCACGGAGCGGCATCGGAGACGCCTCGAAAACCGACGCGGTTGCAGCAGCACCAGTAGCTGCAGAGTTCAAAACATGGTACTACGCGCAGGCGCTCTGACGGCTTTTACTGCTCTTTCACGAACGTGTGTGCGAATACGGACCAGTCCGATGTCTTCGGGTTGAAACTCTCCCCAAGTACATAGATGACTTGTTCGTACCTTTGTGCTAAGAAAATGATCATTGGCAACTTAATCCCCTCACAGTTCATCTTTTCTCCAAATTTTCACATCCAAGCGTTGTGTATCAAGGCTCCCTTATAGGAGCCCGTTTATGTGCGCTGTAAATGTAACCGTTGGAACCGGCCATTCCTAGTGGAAGTCGCTTAAAGGCGGCGAGACGACGAAAAAAGCTCGCACAACGCCGATTTACGTCAGATGCAATAATTTTCTTGGGCATACACACCGCATCAGCTTACACTAAAACTCTCCTACTTGCATTATCTGCCATGCCAATTAGTCAGTGTAACACGAACTCGTACCATAACAACACACCGAACAGAAGCAGAGAACCCAGCCGAAATTATGTAATTCTTTCTCAGCTGTCTCATTGTAGATTACATTGACGTTATTTTACCGCAGCGGCTGGTGCCTTTTACGCAGCCCCTCCGGAATTCAGACGCTGTGAATCATGATCAAATGTACGCCAGCTCAGCTGGGAAGGTGTTTACACCTGACCTGTGAGCTTCAGCTTCAGGAAAGTACAACCATCGAGGTACAACCTCGTACTCAAAGTGTCTGTTCGGTGATGATGAGAAGAATCGGTGCTCCGTCACGTGTTCTTTTCACGGTATGCACCACGTATTTTGTCTGCGCTCTAGTAACAGTTCCTAAATGTGTGGTATGTGAGTAGTCTAAATTTCCGGTAAGATCAGGCCATCATGGCCCAGGAACGCAGCGGGGCGCGGCGGACGCGACTGACCTCTCTCTCGGGGCGCCGCTCGACGGCATGGTAGCAGCCGGCGTCCTCGCTGAGCAGGTCTGCCGTCTGGGGCAGCTGCGGCACCGTCAGCCTCTGGAAGCGCGCCTTCTCCCAGTGCGGCAGCTTGGGCCTCTGGATGTTGATGCGCGCCTTGTGCCGCACGCAGGTCAGCAGCGGACCACGGGTTACCAGCCCTGCAAAGCAGTGATTTCTTAAGGTCAGCATATAATATATCATAAGTTATAAGTATTTTGGTGCAAACTTGTCAGGATGCTGGGTATGACAAAATAGTAGTTTGAGAATGGTGGGCTGGATATGCATTTGCACATTACCTTGGTGGTCCTTCACAATCCCTATCCTGAATATTTGATATGGAACCATGTCTGCCAAGCATGATTACACAGACAATTGATGAAATGAAACTCAAGCCTTTATGGGTCTAATACATACTTCACTCAGGAACACGTAAGGCTAAAATCAGACTTAGATGTTTGATCAATGGGAACATGTTAGCTCAGATTTGGCTCCATGTAGGATGACCTCAGATTTGGCCAAAACCCACAGCTATCTGAGACACGGATGGCTTAAAAATGTCAAATCAGACTGAGACATGTGATCAATGGAAATATATGAGATCAGATGTGGCCCCATGTAGGATGGCCTCACATTTGGACAATGATAGAATTCAGACTCTGTTTCAAAACAGCAATATTCAGACTAAGGAGGGGCTTTAGGACTTACCCATGCCTGCTAGGTTATGATCCATTGAAAAACTGGTTTATTTCTAGTACATCTTTGCATGTTTCTGTGTCCTGAATCCATCAACTCCATGGAATCCACATTTATGGAAATGTGTAGCCTATTGATAAGGTTATTCATTGTACTCAATCCTGTCAAATCAACTCAGTTCAGGGACAAACTAACCAAAACTGCTCAATGGTGTTTTGATTCAGCATCATAACACCAGATCTAAGAGAGCAGCAGGGCTGCATTAAGATGTGTATGCACCACATTTTGTACTAGCAATTCACTTGTACTTCAGCTTCCATTACAGCTTATGGAGTGGCAGGGAGCCTATTACAGCCTATAAACCATATGTTGCATAGACTTTTACATGTTTATAGTATCTGAAAACCAGGCTGCCAGCTATTTCCTTTTACCAACCCTTGTTGCAATGGTACCATCACACAGACATTTTCACCTGCTTACCTTCTGGTCACCATCAAAATGTAGATCATAGTTTGTGAAAGCTTTACATAACTGATTGGCCATATGCAGACCCTGGCGAGAACCTTGATAAGCTGCTTGTGGCAAAACATGAACCACTTAGAACACCTTCTGGTAGCCAAAGAACACAAAGACTCTCCTAATTTTGGATACTGGCAGCATGAGCTATACCTGACTTGTCATGTTTTGGAAACTGGCTGATTAGTGCATAATAGGTGTAAAAAGCCCACAAGAGACTGCTTACCATTTGAATAATGCTATCTGGTATACGCTGGTACACGTATTACACCTTCAGACACAGTCATGCATTAAGGACACATTTGTGTACATTCTAATAATAAGCACATAAATACAAGATGACAACATTGTTTCAGAAAATTATAAGCAAATTCCTGGTTGAATTGCAATAGTTCTCCTTGACCTTTGTGTGGACATCACCAGTCAGCACAAAATATGTGCATCTGGTCATCGTCTCCCAACATGAGGTCAGTATATTTTGTCTAACGAGTCTTACCTCGCAGCGTAGTGACAGAAGGGACAGACATCTTCTGGAAAAACACGGAAGAACACGACACAACAAGTGTCTACAGGTACATCTTTATGACCTATCAAAGACCATGCAATCGTCCCATTCACTTAAACGATCCACCCATCGAAATCCAAACCATTTACGCCTCTCGCATGTCCAGAGCCGCCGGCCATGACCCCAGTACAACTTTAATGTCACGACTGCGCATTTTTTGTCTCACTAAAAATCTTATAGTGCTGCCTATTACTAATAAATTTTGTTCAGCTGGCTGACTTTAGAAATATCGCCATCGTTTCATGTAAAACAAGCGTGTGTTGGGGTGTTTAAAATATTAATTCCTTAAGTATTTTCACGTGCATACAACAGCAACCGCGGGCCTAGCCTAGCTTTACCTCCGATTGCAGGCTAAGGGACAATGCACTATTTTGAAGGGTTTCCTTCCCTAAAGCCCTATGGATGCAACATAAAAATTCCAAAATTTGGGAAATTTTGTTGCTGTGTCTTTATTCAGATCATCACACCCAGTTTAGGGATTGGCACGATGACCTTGCGTCTCGCCATGATCTTCAGATCCAAGTGCCCAGTGGTCATGAAACGCTTTGCATCCGTTAAACCCACTGAAGAGGTGGTGAATCTTATCTGCTGAGTAAAAGGAAAAATTAAGGTGAATGGACTAATCTGTTAGCAACAGGTTGAAAGTGTAGTTTGGCAAGCTTTTCTCCATTTTTTGGCTTTTTGATTAAACCAGTCATGGAAATCACTGTTAAGATATTAACGTAATATGCTTATTCACATTCTGTGCGATATACTCAGATAATGGGATTATCAGTATTTGTCGTTGTCAGCAGATTAGGCTAAAAAGCAGCAAATTTTCAGGTTTGTTTAAACTCAATGTGCCGCAGGAGAGACACTATGTCATAACGTAAGCCGGCTCAAGGCTAGCCGGATACGCGCTGATACCGTCGTTGCTTTTAGCAATGCGAGGGCGGCCGACTGAGGCCATAGAACGGAACAGAGGCCGACTCCCGACAGCGAAAAATACATGTTGCGCCGAAGACCAAAGTTTTATTGTTATTTCAGGTTCTGATTGGCACGGACGCACCTGCTGGGCATGTTGCATGCCTCTAAAATTGTCTGAAGATGGATTTGGCTTTCTTGAAGCAAAGTCTCCAGATCCGTGCTGGTTTTGTTGTGCTTCAGGTGGGTTATCAGGCATGATTGTGGCCTGTTGAATTGCTTTCCTAGATGCATGTGAGTATTTCAGTGCTTTGTTTGCGACATGACAGAACCCAAAGTTCCAAATGTGTGATGATTTTTCCAAGACAGCAGTTAGAGTACTGGAGTGATTTGAGGTTTGTGACTGCTATGATGCACTCAGTAGCAAAGACTACATGAGTGTCAATGGGGGAGGTCAGCTCTATGGTAATGTTGTCAGCTAAAGGTAATGTTTTTTGTCCAGGAGCTTGGGATGAATGACATGAATACAACTTTGACAAAAGGGGTGGAGTGACCACTTGCTTCCACCATTATCACAAACCCACCAATGAATGACCTCACCCACCCACATACCCATCCATCATGGGTAGTTCAGTAGTGATGTCAAGCAGGTTTTTATACTCATTCCACAATAAGTAGGCATACAAACCATTAGATGCTTTTGGCTGTTTGTCACAAACTGCTTGTTGGTGAGTGATGTAGAGCTGATTTCACCTTCATTGTATGTGTGATGCACTATCACAGAATATTTCCTGCACTTTTTTCTATTTCCTGTGCCCTCAGTGTGCGTGCAACCACCTGCTGCCGGACCATGAGTCAGACGCCTTTGTGGCGCCGGTGGCACCTGTAGGGGAGCGGAAGCCCCTGGATGGAACCATCACCACTCTATTTGGTGGTCTGCACCGCTGGGATGCTCAGTACTTCCTGCACGTGGCTCAGCATGGCTACACCCACGAGAACACGCTGGCCTTCTTGCCGGGTCTCCCGCTGCTGGCCAGCGGCGGTGCTGCGCCTCTGGTCGCCAGCGGCCTGCTCTCGCCGCCGGCTGCGCTGCTGGCCGCCGCCGTGCTGCTCAACACGCTGCTGGCCGCGCTTGCCGCGCAGGCGCTGCTGGCGCTGTCGGCGCGCGTGCTGCGCGACCGGGCGCAGGCGCGGACGGCGGCGCTGCTGTTCTGCTGGTCGCCGGCGTCCGTGTTCCTGGCGGCGCCGTACTCGGAGGCCCTGTTCGCGTGCCTCAGCTTCACCGGCATGCTCCTGTGCGAGACGGACCGGCTGTGGGGCGCCGCCGCCGCCTTCGGATTCGCCGCCGTTACCAGGTACCGGCCAGATCCCCAGCCATGTGCTCGAGGACGCGGCCAATCTATCATGCTGGATGCAGTCTGACTTTATAATGGGGAAGCTGGTACCGAGAGGTGAATCGCGGGTGCAGTTCGCACGTGGCCGTCGCCGGTACTAGGTACGGGCCGAATGCATCAGGTACGGACTGCCGGTACCGTGTTAATGCCACAGCCACCTGTTACAAGCCTCCATGGCATGTACTCTATAATCTGGCAGTGCCGACGACGTTAATGTGTGCACTGCGCCAGCCAGTGACCTGCTGGTGCCGGCCGCCCTGTAAAACTGCATCCGCTGTCATTGGGTGCTTATGTCCTGTAGTAAATGGATAGTTTTTGGAGATCTCGCTAGGTAGCGGCTGGTGTGTGCGTTGGCCATACATTGAACAACGATATTTGCATGCTTAATTAGTTAATGTATGGCTTATGGATTTGGGTGATCTGTTGTGCTTTTCCCCTCGCTGTGATAAACGTGTCTGATGAGCGAGTCACGTGGACAACCTCGAAATCTGGAGCTGTGAACTCAATGCCTTGCATTGCCTTACATTGCAGATCCAATGGAACGCTGCTGGTGGGATTTTTGGTCTACAGTCTATTGAGTAAGCAGATTACGATGATGTTCCCAAGCACCACCAAAGAAAATGTCGCCAAGGTCCCTCTCCCAGTGGTAAGGATACCGGTGATGCACACGCCTGGGTGGTTGCGATGAATGTCTGTAATTTTTCGGCCCTCCTACACAGGATTGTTTTGTTGACGGATGACTAGAGTGTTTATCAATTTGACGAAGTGTTGCCAAACTGCTGGCATTGTGTGATACACAGTAAAACACTGTTAAGTGTTCGAGTGCTATTCTCACAACACGGCGGATGAGAATCCCATGGGAGGGGGGGGGGGGGGGGGGGGGCGGCGGCTGGGTTGGAACGCCGATTGCGCCTTGACGCCAGTGCGCTGGTATAGCCAGTGCAGCCGCTGGCGCCCCATAAAGGGTGTGTGACCACGTACGTCGTGTCCCTTGAAACAGAACCCTTTAACCTCGGAGGGGCTACCCAAACCGGGCCTTGTATCCCTCCGTGCGTGACGCGAGAGGCCCGGGCTGTTACTTTTCATTGTTACCTTCCACACTATATTCCTCTCACTCATATCGCTATGAGTTTATGAGTTCAAAGCTCCGGTGCTGAGTTCACGACCTTCGGTGTACCAGGAGGTACTGGTTAGATAATGCAATAGTGCTTAACACGGTTATATTGCCGGTACTCAGTATTTTTGTCTGGGGTCATCATAAAGAGTAATTGATGTACATGACATGACCTGCGAGATCTCCCAGGCACCGCTAGGGTCCTGTTTGCGCCGTTGCTAAGTCTCAATAGACACACCTGTCTGGCCTAGATTTCCCCAGATGACTTACTTTGCCCGTGGCCGAGTGGCATGCTAACTTTGGATTTTGAGGATGTGGCCGTGGGTCCGCCGGTCGTGGCCTGCGGGCTCGCCGCCATGCTGCATTCTTGTGTTCACTGTCGAGGGTGGCTATATAAGGGCTCCCTTCGAATGCTCCACGTCGCCGTGCTGCTCGATGCACAGTCAGCACTATGGGCTGTGGAGCGCCCGTGCGGCATTTGCTGCGCGAAGCGTCGCTGCCCGTCCCGTGATTGGCCTCTGACCGGACGGTTCCGCCTCAGGCGCTGCTGTACGCTCTGTGGCGGCTCGGCCAGGCGACTGCCCTCTCGCTGCTGACGCTGGCCGCCTTCGCCGTGTACCAGCTGTACGCGTTCGTGCTCTTCTGCACGCCGGGCGCGCCGCCGGTGGCACCGCACGTACAGCGCTTCGTCCGCGAGCGCCGCCTGGTGGCGCCCGGCGATATGAGCTCGCCGTGGTGCAACCGCACGCTGCCCATGTCGTACGGCTACGTCCAGGTGGGTGCGCCGCCTGGTGGCGCTCGGCGACATGAGCTCGCCGTGGTGCAGCCGCACGCTGCCCATGTCATACGGCTATGTCCGGGTGGGTGGCGGACGGCAGGCTCCCGACGGTCGCCCTACAGAGACGGGCACATTTGACCTGCGCTCTTGATATGTAACCTTGCAGACTGGTATTTAGTGCGTAGCGTCCTGCACGAAAATATTTAGATTTTTGACCGGTGATGCTGACCGACGTGTTGACCTCCAAGCAGTATTTCCAAGCAGTTCTTTTTCAATTTACAGCGAATGCATTGCTATCTGTTTTTCAGGATCACTATTGGGACGTTGGATTCCTTCGGTACTACACTCTGCGCCAGCTGCCCAACTTCCTGCTGGCCGCGCCAACTGTGGTGCTGATAATGCACGGTGCTGTCACCTACCTAAGGCGGTGGACACTGTCAGTACTCGGTCGTGCCAAAGGTGGCGCTGTCGTCAACCCGCTGCTGCTTCCGTACGTGCTGCACGCGGCGGCACTCACCGGCTTCATGGTCACGTGCGCTCACGTGCAGGTCAGTGGTTCGGTTTGTCCACAGTTGTTTTCTGTCTGCTGGGAACTTACGGAAGACTGTGCCGCGCGAATAGAATACCGGTATTTTCATTCATGATTGTTTTATAGTTAACACCACATTTTATAGTTAACAATCATGCGATCCTAAAAGCCTCACTGATCGGCCCATGTGGGAATTTGGAGATGTCATGCATATCCATTCTTATTTAGAGTTTGCATGATACCTTATGTGCCACATTTCAAACAGCTCAACTGTTCTGCTTCAGCGACCTTGCTCCGTGGCAGGGTAAGATGGTAGCACGCGCATTAATTGCCATACCAGACCAGTGTTCCAATATTCGGCTGCTTGGGTGGCAGGGATGCCGATATTTTTCATTCTATAACACCTCGGCTTTGGGCCCACGGCCTGTGACCCCTTCCCTGCTCAGAATTGGCGAACCAGCATGGAACTGGGCGACCATCAAACCAGCATCTATGCGCCTCAGGCGTGACAAATGGGCTGAGTAGGTCAGATGTCTTCTTCGGGGTCAAAGGGCAACGGATTAGCGCCAACGGATTGCGTACAGGGACCGCCGGAGGGCCAGGATTCTGGTAGCATGAGTTTATATTTACATCATGTACATCCTACGGGATGAATTTTGGGAGCGCTTTACCAGACCTCCGCCTTTATGGGTTTTACGCGCCGATAACCGGTGTGATCTGGCACAATCCAGTATGGCGTGAACCGTGTGGGCACCGCGCATACCAGCCAGCATACCATACCTTCCTCTGGTGCCCAGCAACAACTACCCTGGCATGCGTTTGCCTGACTTAAGTTTTCAGCGATCGTGTCGCCCGTTGCGGTAAGGGCTTAAATTCACGCGCGGATGACAGCGAATCCTTGTCGTTCTTCCCGTGTGGTCCATCCACATCCACCGTCGGCACTCAGGAGCCGTGCACCGCCCGTGGATCGTGGCCAACGCCACTCTGTACTGGCACGGCTCGTTGCCAGGGGTGTCGCATCGGTTTGCGGGGAATCGGCAGCAATCGTTGCCTCCGAAGTGCGGTTCGTCACGGCTCTGTGGGTCGCTGCGGGCTGCGCCGCGGCAAATGTCAGCCGCCCGTCACTGGTGACCCGGCGCGGCGTCAGGCCAGGCGGAGGGGCGGCCGCTGACGGCGGGGGGGGGGCTCCGAGCGGCCGCCATAGCGAGCCCGCGCGGCCGGCCGCTGGCCCCGCGCGGATGCGCCGAGCGGCATTTGCGAACGCTGCATGGGGCAGCAAGTGCGGTATTGTTGTCAAATGACGCGCCGTAGACGCGCGATTTTGGGCCCACCGGCTTCGTAGAGAAAAACCATGGTGGACGCGCTGTTTCGTTAGTTGCTGAATAAGGTTTCCTGTTGCTAAAAGGGCGCTTTCTGTTCTGACTTCGAAGCTTCGACGCTGAATCAGTGTCGAAGTTTTTAGCGAGCGTACGATTGCAGACCGAACTGGATTTATTTTAATTCTGCAGTTTCCTTTTTCCCGCGCCCGGCTTTTGTGAGTGTCACAACGTCCCCTGGAAACTCATCGGCAACTGCAGAAGCTAAAATATCTCCGCGAGATGAAAGTGGCCTATTTTCTTTGCGTTTTGGTTAATAAATGTATGTAAGCCAGCTCACTACAATCACGATAAAATGGCAGTCAGCATTCAACTGGCTTTCTGCTTTTAGACAGATCCTCGCACTATACCGTCGGACATGAGTCTGCTTTGCGACCTTTGCCGTCCAACGTATCCTCGCCAAGTGTAGCTTATTGCGTGAACTTCGACTCCACTATCTGAGTTATCCGAACCATGAGTGTTGCACAAAGAGGCAACAATGGATCTGTCTGGCATACGCATCGGTATTATCGGTGTGATAAAGTCATCATGGTCTTGCAGTAATCGTTTGGAAACGAAGGAACTGCTAACACTTGCCTAAGAGATTGTTGGAAATATCATTCAAAAACGACATAAAGCAACCTGTCCTCGAACGTTGAGCAACGGAATCGGCTCGGGCACCCCACTCTGACGGCTCGCTACTGGAATGTCCGTGGGTGGTGGAGTCCGCAGCAGTGTAATGTAGTTGGAGATGCTGCCCGTCGGAGATCGTGTTTCACGAAGTCGAACAGCAGTGCGTGGCTGCGAGTCCTAGAGTAGACACGTACCTGGTTCCCGAGATTTGATCTCGGAAACCTGCTGGCTGTTATCGTTTCCGATAATGGGAGAAGCCTAGGAACAAATCTGGAATCACGCGATAGACCCAGCAAGAACCAGAATTCAGTGCCGAATTTTGCAGTGATTATCAGCAAGAACTAGGATTAATTCTGACACTAAGCCCGGAGATAAATGACCAAAGGTTCAGCCTGGAATAAGCTCGAGGATCCAGAAGGGATCAAGACCCAGCCTGACATTAAAATGTGGTCAGCAAGATACAAGATCCTGCAGTCCTCAAATACGCCCCAAAAGATCCGGCAAGAACCGGGATGCACCCCGGCATTGTACCGAGGGATCCAGCAAGAACTAAAACGAAGCCGATGTGTGGAGTGGTGGCAAGAAAACCTGCAAGAACCCGGAAACTACGTGGAGTTTTTGTCAGAAGCCTGTACCCATACACACAGATTATTTGATTAGTTCACAGACCTAGCAGTGCGGTGCCACATAATATAACTGATGAAATCAGGACGTATACACGACTAGCGCCCGCCTTGCAGCAATATGTTGACCCACAACGTTGCGGCGTCCTGGGCCGAAGAGAAAGGGCGAAAGTGGCAATCTCTCCTTCTTACGGTCTTTCCCGCATTCAGAGTTGCCTCCTGAAATGAGTTTCTATAAATGCCTTGTTCTAGAAAAAGGATAGAAAACTAAGACGTCCGAGAGCGGGAACCTTTCTCCAACGCGGACCCATTAGCGCCCGATGTTTTGTTGTTGTTGCTGCTGTTTTTGTTGAATGAGCTCTTAGAATGAGTGGACGACCCCGCGAGCTGCGTGGGGAGCGCTGAAACCCCGGCCTCCAGCCCGGCGTGGCCGCTACCTCGCCGCCTGGCCGCGATTGACGGTCGCCTCCCGCCGTCAGGTCACGACGCGCGTGCTGGCCTCCAGCTCTCCGGCGCTGTACTGGTTCGCCGCCCGCCTGCTGCACGGCCCGGCGCCGGCGGCGGCGGCCGGCCGCGCCAGCTCACGCCACGTCGGGGTGAGCGCCCCCACTGCCTCCGACTGGACCCGGCTCCGCTCCGGCCGGGGCCAGCCCGTGCTGCTGAGCTGGCCGGCCGGCGCACGGACGGTCTGAGTCGGTGACTTGGGTCGTTGAAAGTCACAGTGTGCTCAAAACGGTCATCGGCCAGCCGACCAGTGAAAAACGTGTATGGCAGCATTCCTCGCGTGTACCCAACGTCTTCTGGATAGCAGACTTCACGTACTGATCTTCTGTGTAATTTGAGGACGTTCATTGTACCTGCGAGGTTCCCCGGCCCAGCGTGCCTGCAGTTGGGCCAGGTCGAGTCTGTTATGTCCCGCTGTCCGGCTTCTCCCGGTCGTGGCTCTCTGAGCGCGTCCCTGTTTCCCATGCAGTCTGCCGTCTGAGCTTGCCTCTACTCCCTTGGCCGTCTGCCGTCTGCCGTCTGCCGTCTGCCGTCTGAGCGTGTCTCTGCTCCGTAGGTGTTTGCTGGCGGCTCAGGCTCGGCGCTCCGCTGGCTGGCTGAGCCACCGAGTCGAGCCGGCACTGGTGTGCAGCTCTACTTCCTGGCATACGCCGTCATCGGCACCTGCCTGTTCTCCAACAACCTGCCGTGGACGTGAGCCGACCGGGCCGCGTGGTCCGCTCTACCAGCCCGGCTCAACCAACCAGTCACGGCCCGGCGCGCCGAGCATACCGGTCCGGTCTGTTGTGGCGGACGTGGCTCCGGTCTGCTGTGGCGGACATGGCTCCGGTCTGTTGTGGCGGACGTGGCTCCGGTCTGCTGTGGCGGACGTGGACCCGGTCTGCTGTGGCCGACGTGGCTCCGGTCTGCTCTGGTTTACGCGAGCATGTTTAGACCGTCCCCTCCCTCATTCGCCGATGCGTTCACGAACAGGTGGTGTCGATGAACCCTCCGCCCGCTCACCACGTAGCCCGGGCGCACATCGTGGCCTCTGACATGGTACGCGGCTATCGACGGGCATGCCTTCCATGGCTCAGCACCGGCTTGTCGGGCGGCAGATTGCTGGTGCACTTTGGACTGTGATATCTGAATTGGTGTAATTGCCCGTCGCGGATGTCGGCGCTTGCGCTAAGAGAGTCTGCAAACTGCGGGGTGCTTGAAGGTGGGTTTGCAATGCACGTCAATGCCGTATAGATAAGACACGTACGCATGGAAGTACATTGGGTTTGAGCATCAACCTAGGATCTGTTGTGGTAGTAATCAGAGGGCTGTGCTGTCCTAGTATGTGGATAGTTATCCATCCAATGTATCGTTCAGTCGGCGCCCCACATCCACATCTGGTTGCCGCAGCTCGCCAACATATAACTCTTCCTTCGTCGCGTTTTGGTTATATGCGTATGTTAGCCTTTTGTTAAGTTGGCATTGCTGTGAGTTGCTTTGCAATACAGTGCAATGTTGCTGTGAGTTGCTTTGCAATACAATGCAATGTTTGTTCGGACCGCCCGTGATCATTCGCATTATTTAGCAGTGCGTTCTATTCATTTGAAGAGCTGTAAAGCAAAGCCATGTTGCATAGATTTTATTATTGTACGACCTATGTCGACTTTATGGTTTTTTACCCTTTGTCAACTTTTGTGTGGGGCGCTTCATTGTTGTACTGAACCGATATTCAGACTTTGTCATGAAACATGGATACCACGTGTCGTAAGTGATGCTCGGAACAGGAACCTAGCCGCTGGGTCCCCTTGGGATTGTCGAGAGATTGCCTTATCTACGAAATGCGTCATGGCACATATTCACGCTTAGGGTCATTGTGGATTCTCAAAAGCGTCTGGCAGCTGAGCCCGTGCGTGTGCCGCGCCGTGTCGCGCTGTGCCGTGCCGTGCCGTGCCGCTGCGGTTACCGCCGCGCCGCCGCGCTGAGAGCGGGTGCGTCGGCCGCCACCTGTGGCCGGGCCGGGTGACAATCGGGCCCGATAACAGGCAGCCACAGGTGGTCACCTCCCGCCGCGGGGCCGGCCGCGGCCGCCGCGCGGCTGGGCCGACCGGGCGCGGCCGGTCCGGCGCACCGCCGGCGTGAGCGCCGCCGCCCGCCGGCGCGGCCCCGGCGCGCTCCGCCGCCGCCGCCGCCGCTGCCGCGCCCGGGCCGCGCGTTACGGCCCGGCGCGGTGCAGCGGCCGCACGACAGCAAGCGTGCCGACCTAGCACAGCCTAGCCAGCCCGCTCACATTTCCGCGCGGAAATTTCCTGCTGGTGGCGTGTGTTTTGGCTACCGGCCTGGGCTTGGCCAGTGGCAGGGTTATTTAGTAACTGGGAACACCGCTGTGCAAATACCCACAACCACGCCAATCAGTGGTTTGGCCTATGAACTGGAGTAGGCCCGGACGGACGGCGGTGCGCACTGGCCCCCGTGCTGGCTTGGGTTTTTGACGTGTGCGGTACATCCGACCAGCGATTGGGAGTTAAAATGATAGTTACAGCTCACTGTTGTATTTCGGTTGTTGAGACTTGAACGCCTGGCAACATGTATTCCAAATGCGGTGGGGCTGAGTTGTAACAACAACCTATCAACACCTATCAACAATTGGGCAACTGCCACGAATATCGATGCGACAGGCAGGCAGGTTCGTGGCAGGTATCGTGCAGGTAGGTTCATGATAGGAAATATCGTCATGCGTTCTCTATTCAGCGAATTAGGTTTTTTTTTAATTGCGCCAAACACCTAACTAACCCTCCATCGGACAACAGTAATGGATGAAGGTGACCCAACTTTCTTGGACAGAGAAAGAAACGATAGACCACATTGCCGTCGGATTTTCCCCGCTTGATTATGCAGCCATTGTGAGCAAATTGATCCAAATCCATAGTCACGGAGGGTCGATTCTGTGGCGGGCCTTAATCCCCTCAAGGTTTTGATGTTGCGCCTCAGTGTATGCCAATAATGCAAAAGGACACGTCTGTGATGAACACCTATCAACAACTGGGTAAATCTGAAGCCTTAAGTAGAATTCAAATTTGATAACTCGCGGAGCTTAAGCTTTTGGCGCTTTTTGTACTACCCAGCTATCCACCGCTATCCACACCACGACGTCGAGCCGAGCTTCGCGTCGACTTTAGTGGCAAGTAATTCCATTCGCCCTGAAGCCTGACGATTTATAGAACCTTGCGTTACAGTTGAGTTCCTGTCAGGACATTGAGCCAGGACCTGGTTGTGTGCTGGATGTTGCTGAATTCCCCTGTCATCAAGCCACCCGCGGATTTTTCCTGGGCTCCAGCTCTCGATTGCATCCCACTTTAAGCCCCCTTGCCTTAGGTGGGCTCGCGATTGAAAGCTATTCCCGCCTACTGTGGTCATTGTGAAGCCGTCCATCCAACATACCAACGCGCCCCAGACATGCATACGTTTGTAGCAGGAGGGTCACTTTATGTGCTTTCCGGGGGGGGGGGGGGACCCCAATGCTTCTGAGCCCCCTCAATACATGTGAGCAGAGGGAATGCTGGGCTAAATAAATACAAAACTATTGTCCAACTATTGATATGCTAAGTAGTAGGCACGTCAACACGTCACTATTAACATCATACTAGTTTTGCGCCGAATATGGGTACGCGATTTTTCTTTGCCATGCTATCAGTCTGCAAATGTGCGGAGTTTTTTCAAATGATAACGCCTGGATTGGGATAAAGAACAACAGACTGCGATGTGCGGCGTCTTCTAAAATCGCACGACCTAGATAAAAGTTAACGCATGTTTTCCACAACAGCGACAAGTGGATTGTCGCATGGTCGATAGGTCAACCTATTCGGCTGGTCCACCCCGAACCGATTTTAGGTGACACCCCTGGTTTGCGCTGCCAGCGAGCAGGGGACGGAAGCCATTTTCCTTTGTTCCGACTCCAGCGAGTTGGGGACGGCGGCCGTTTCCCCTTGTTCCGACTCCAGCGAGTTGGGGACGGCAGCCGTTTCCCTTTGTTCCGACGCCAGCGAGTCGGGGGCGGCAGCCGTTTCCCTTTGTTCCGACCCCAGCGAGTCGGGGGCGGCAGCCGTTTCCCTTTGTTCCGACGCCAGCGAGTCGGGGGCGGCAGCCGTTTCCCCTTGTTCCGACTCCAGCGAGTTGGGGACGGCAGCCGTTTCCCTTTGTTCCGACTCCAGCGAGTTGGGGACGGCAGCCGTTTCCCCTTGTTCCGACTCCGCCGAGTTGGGGACGGCAGCCGTTTCCCTTTGTTCCGACGCCACCGAGTTGAGGACGTCAGCCGTCTCCCTTTGTTCCGACGCCACCGAGTTGAGGACGGCTGCCGCTCCCCTTTGTTCTGACGCCTCTGACCTTGGTCTCGTGTTCCTCGGGCCGTCGCCCCAGTCCCTGTGAGCAGCCCTGGGCAGTGGACTCGGGCTAGCTCGGGGCCCCACCGTCTCGTGTTTATTCGCCCGGCAATGATAGCTGTGGCCTGGCAACGAGTGCATTGCGAAGTGTCGGGGTCATCAAATACGTTTCATCCCATTTCAGATACCCAGAAGTCTCACAGAGGTCTAGGCTGCTCCTCGGCGTGCCTTGCCACGTACATTGGATGCTACTGATTAACATGTATGCGGAACGCCGTTCCGTCCTGACCTTACCGAAGCACCCCGTGCCTTCAGCCTAACTTTCCGCAGCCGCAGCACCTTCCGCCGCCTAATGCCCCCCCGCTCGGCCGCAGCGCCCTCCGCAGCTACCACACCAACTCCCGCCACAGCAAAAGCGGCCGTCACACCACAGCGGCGTGTATTTGGTAGTGGGTCGGTACAGCAGTTCGGGCAGCGCGGGCGTTGGCTGGCGCCTTGTGTCCGGCCCGCGGTGCGGGCGGCGGCGTCGGCCCGCGGCTGGGGCCGCTGCTGCTGCTCCGGGGGTCCGTTCGTCCTCAGGTCCGCCGCTCGGCCGCTGGCGGACCTGGACACGTCGGCTCTGTATCACATGGGGACCTGCCGGCACAAGGACGGCACGTGTCACACGCACATGCGCACCAGCCAGGCGAGGTCAGCACTGTATCATATGGGGATCCGCCGGCACACACATGGTGCGGGTCACATGGGGGCGGCTCTGCCCTGGTTATACAGAAGCTTTATTTTCACTTGGCAGCGCCGGGCGGTCAACCGCCAAAGAACCCCCTGATTGTCACCCCGGGTCACTAGGACAGAACCCCGTACCACCATTTTAAGATCGGTGCCTAACCGCACAAATCGGTGCCCAACTCGCCATTCTGGCGTGGCCGGCGTGTCTAGCCGTAATGCTCTACACTCGCGACCGCCCGACACCAGCCGTGTCGACCGTCCGACACCAGCCGGGTCGACCGTCCGACACCAGCCGTGTCGACCGTCCGACACCAGCCGTGTCCACCGCCCGACACCAGCCGTGTCCGCCTGCCGACACCAGCCGTGTCCGCCACCCGACACCAGCCGTGTCGAGCGCCTCACACCAGCCATGTCCGCCGTCCGGCATCCCCCTGCGTTCGGTGCTGCCGCGCTGCGCCGCTGCAATTCGGACCGGGGCCGGATATCGCCGGCCGGCGGCGCGGTTAGCCTTCAGCGGCGGCCGGTCTGCGGGCAGGCGACGTGACGGCTGCGGCCTTGGGCTCCCGGAGGCCGGGAGCGCCGCGCTGCAGTGCCACCCGTCAAACGCGCCTCGTGCGCCAGCTTCAGGTCCGGCAGGCTTAGAGCGAACGCGCCTTGATCCAGCCCCGGTCACAGAGGCCGCCCGGCCAGCAGTACACGCAGTATTCCACCCGTGCAGTCCCTACGCAGACGCTTTCTCGGAGACTATACCTCCAGTTGCATCACCTTGTCGAGTCATACAGCAGTCTGACGCTGTGAGCAGCGGTCATCTCCGTGCCATTATCCCATAAGAAGATTACATGTTTCCCAAACAGATGCTAGACATTGCGACATCTTCGCAACTTTAATACGGGCCACCACGGCCCAGCGCGTTCGGCTGTTGCTGTGTGTCAGCCGTCCGGCGGCGGCCGGACGCCGGGGAGGCGCCGGCGCCCGGCCGCGGCCAGCTCGTTTGCGTCTCCAGATCTCGTCCCGCGTCGTCTGCTGTCTACGGCGCCACAACAGCCGGCGCGACGGGCAGCAGTGACCTTGAACTCAGCTGAGCGGGACGCCGGCCGCCGCGCGCAGCCGCGTTCCTCGTCACGTTTCGTCACGCGCCGAGGCTGCCGTGGCGCAAGGCTCTATAGCGATGGCGTCAGTACCGCAGTCGTCCGTTGGACAGGGACGATTACGTGGAGGAGGTCCGAATCGAAAAACGAGGGTGCTCTGGACCTCTCTTCTCAAGACCTCTGGTCATCGACTGATATTGTTTCGGAGCATGGTGAAAGCTCGCGAATACACCATTGCTCTTGTAAGAGGCCACTGCCGTAGCTGCGTTCCAGCTCGCGTAAACCAACAGGCATGTCCTGAGGCAGCAGAATGATCTTTCTGCCAATGGCGTCA